GACGCCCCTTCGTTGAATCCGGTAAACATGACATTGTACCACGTGACGCGATCCGTTTTTTGAAATTGTGTGGGATCCACCGAGAGCACAGCTTTTTCACACCCAAATGTTTGTGTAGTAATGATTGTATTTGACTCAAGCCTATGCCTAAAGATGCCCGAATCTCATGGTACGTCACTAATTTCAGAAATGACGCTACAATGTAAAAACAAGTGACAGTCAGATGAAACAAACTGTATTCTACACCCAAAGAGTTCCATTTTCAAATGTTGTAATTACTTTTTAAATATTATTTATGTAAGTGGCCAGTTCCGCAAACTTATAGTGCGCCCTATGTATAAATCGCAAGTGTAGCGATGCAACCGCGCATTTATATCGATGCAGCCGCGCGTTTGCGTCGTTTGCATCGCGTTTGCATGCTGCTTAAAGTCGCGCGTGTATGTAAAGGTACGAGTAGCGACTGCATCGCTACTGCATCACATTTGTATGGCGAGCAGCTAGGGAGTGGAATTCCCTGCCTGCAGACTTGTTCCCCGAACGTCATAATTTCGACCTTTCAAGGCGAGAGTGAATAGGCATTATTTAGGTGTGCATGCTACATCCTTGACCTCATCGTCACTTTCCATCAGGTGAGATGGAGGTCAAATGCGCACTTATTTTTTATAAAAATGTATCGCTGCTAAAAGTAGCCGTGTGTAATAGCTCTTAGAGGATGGAAATAGAAATAAAAAATACTTTACGGATGCCGTTTACAAAAAATATTTATGATCATTTCAGCCATATAGACCTTAGAGGATGAAAGAAATACAGATACTTTATTGTAATACCTTTTTGATCTTGACCTAATTAGGGGTAGGTTTACGTGGCATATTTACTGATTTTATCTACACAATATTGGAATTGTGGTAATTATGGTGACAATTTGAGATGAAAACCCTAAAATCATTTGCCTTTGTTTGTTGACATTTATTCTACATCGAATTTGGCTAGAGCATAGTATTAACATTTGGAAACGGGAATAAACGCGTTACGCATACGTGACCACGGCCAGTGCAACCTGACCGAAATGTCGGGAAACTAGGTAGGTGTGAAAAATACTTATTCGTATGTAAACGCGTTTATTCCCGTTTCCAAATGTTAGTACAATGCAACGCGAAAGTTTAAAAGTATACATAGAGTATAGTATATTTCATGGCTTACGTCTCCTGATAAAATTTACTAGGCAAGATATGATGTTGACAAACAGTGAGCGCAACGAACGACACTTGCACAATAGCTCTATTCTTTAAATAAAATAAAGCTTTTTATAAAGCTTTGTTGCAATTCTATTTCCGGGATGACAGGTGTAACAAAAAGATTCGACTGTACTCGTGATCCCATAATGAATTTTAGATGGAAATAATTTTACATTTGCTAGAACAAAAACTTTATAGAATCGAACACGGTGTTTATGTGATAAAGTCATAGAACGCGTTTTCGACCCCTTACATGCCAACCTTGGCATGTAATGGGTCGAAAAGTGACAAAACTGTTAAATGGCGTTGATTCAAAACGAAACCCTGGTAACTCCCCTACACTTGGACGAAGTTCACCGAGACACATCGAAGTCGAGAGTATATAGTGTTACTATCACAGACATATATCTATGTCGGTGGTTACTATGTACAACTTTACCTCCCCTCAATGGACTAAAGTCGCGTGTTGTCGTCGGTTTTTTGCGCCCGAGCAAATAGGAACGAAGTTCGAACATGAAGTGACTGATTACACTTTTGGGGTACAACAGTACCCCTATTCGTTGTTAGTACTTGTAGCCTTTACTTTTATTACATAGTCATCTATACATCAGTGTGTATCTTGATGTTGTATGACGTCATTGCTTATTAATAATGATTCCATGACATAATAATTCCATCATATGCGTGGCGAACTCTCTTTCCTTTCTTTTCCTCCTCCAAAGTGTTTTTCATTTTTCATAAGTAGGTAAATACATAGGGCGAACTGTAAGTTTCCGGAACTGACAACTTACATAAACAATATTTAAAAAGTAATTACATATCGAGTTCTTAGGTTTTCGCGATTGCTACATATAGGAAATGAAACTATTTTTCCGGATTTAGATCGCGTACATTTGTTTGTTCAAACAAACCGATGTTTCGGGCCCTTTACAGGTCCCATGGTCACGGTTGACTGAGGTGGTACAGTCTTCAACCAGTTATATCTAATATTAATGCAAACCACCCTATTTTTTCACTATAGTTACAATAGTTATTAATTAAATACTTTATTTTTAATTTTACATATTAGGTTCAAATGTCATTTCAGAAATTAGTTGTCTACATCACCATGGATTTAACTCGTAAAAATTTTCATAGTATGATTTTCTACGACTTTGAATGTAATTTAACAGCTCAGCGGAGCTTCGCTCGGCTTCAAACTGCTTTTTTGTGATGAAGCAATGGTGCTTGCATGGGCAAGACGACTATTTATAGCTGGTTTGCAGAATTCAAACGCGGTCGTGTGAATCTCAGTGACGAATTTCGTGATGGTCGCCCGTCCACTGCCGTGAACAACAAAAACATTGATGCCGTGCGCCGTATGATCAAAACAGACAGGCATGTGACATACCATGAGATTCGGGCTTCTTTAGGCATAGGCTTGAGTCAAATACAATCAATACTACACAACATTTGGGTGTGAAAAAGCTGTGCTCTCGGTGGATCCCACACAATTTCAAAAAACGGATCGCGTCACTTGGTGCAATGTCAAGCTTATCAGATTCAACGAAGGAGCGTCAAATTTGGTATGGGACATAGTGACAGGTGACGAAACATGGATTTATAGTTACAATTCCAAAACAAAGCAGCAATCGAGCGTATGGGTCTTTCGAGATGAGCCGAAACTAACCAAAGTGGCGCGCGTGCAAAGTGCTTCTAAGCGGATGATTGCATCTTTTTTTAATGAAACTGGACACGTGGCTTCTATTGCTTTGGAGAATCGTTGTACCGTGAATAGTGATTGGTACACGACCATTTGTTTGCCGGAAGTTATTGACAAACTCCGTAAAAACAACCGTAAACGCCGTATCATCGTGCACCACGATACACACACTTCTCTCACGGCCTCTCTCACGGTTCTCACACGGCCAGACAGACAAATGAATTTTTGAAGGTGAACAACGTTGACCATAAGGTTGACTCATAAGAGCCATCCCGCATACAGTCCCAACCTTGTGACTTTTATTTATTTCCAAAAATTAAAAACCAGTTACGCGGTCAATGATTTTCATCACCTGAAGAGGCTGTCGAAGAGTATGAAAAATATATTTCAGAGATTGTCACGGAGGAGTGGCATAAATGTTTTCAAAATTGGTTCATTTTCTATGAAAAAGTGCATTAACGCTAAAGGAGAATATTTTGAGAAACAATAAATTAATTTCTGACCATATAAAGTATTTTTTTCTTATTGATTCCGGAAACTTATAGTGCGCCCTACGTATACACATTACTTGTCCTGCGATTGAGGACTTTATGAAGTTGAACGAGTGGATGTAATCTCGTAGTAAACCTTGGCAAATTACTGTGTCAAGGAACTTTGTTTGTTTGTGTATCGGGGAATAAGACTACAATTGTAGTTGTCTCTCATTCGATAGGGTGCTTCAATATCCTGGGACTAAAACTTCAGATTCGTGGTAAACACAGGGAATGAGGCGGGAGAGTCAACAGCGCGAATCACACTTAGTTTAGGTGTGGCTTCGGCGTGCCCTAAACAGCTTTACGCCTTTACTTATCTCACCCAACACCAGGGGGTCTACTCTCGATATCCGTCCGAAACAATTACTGTCAAATAAGTAATATACGACAAAATTAAAAGACAAGTATCAAGTATGAAACTTCATTCGCATCACGCGTCTTTTCATTTGGTCAAGTATTGCTTATTTGGCAGTAATTGTTTCGGACGGATGTCGGACGGAGATCGAGAGTAGACCCCCAGAACATTCGAGTTAAACGTTCGATTCGGATTCGGATACGTGAAAAAGATTATAAGAAAAATAAAAATCCTTTTATATACATTTTTAAGGCCAAAAATATAGGAATACATAAGGAGTTAGTCTTGCATTAAAATTAATAAAATTTAACAAAAAAAAAAGATATTTCCGTATTACATTCTTACTTTGTTTACAATAGGACGTTCTGTAACTTTCATTCGATAACTGTGATTAAAGTTTGTAGTCTTTGCCGGTCGAGAAGCTCGAGCAATCGTACGGGTGTGACGTCATTTCGCTTTGGTTTCGAAATTTCGAATACGACCATTGACTTACCGACAGTTTGACGTTCGATACGGTTATTGTGAATAAAAATTAAAAGAAGTCATACGATATCTAATCGCATCGGTCGACAACAGAGTTATCGTAAGGTTCTGAATCGACCTGCAGGGTCAAAAAAGAAACAAACACGAACCCGCTCCCAGATACACGACGCGAAAGTTTTAGTGCGGCCACCGCATGGTAACCGCCCAGCTACCACGCTTTCACATTAATGGCTAATCTGAATTCTCTGTACTCGGCAACAACATTTAAATTTCTGGGAATAATACAACCACCGCCGCCGCCGCCGCCGCGTAGTAGACCAAGGACAAACCATCCTCGCCTGCGCGCCCGGAATGCTTATTTAAGAAGCATTTAAGTTAAAACGTAAAAAAAGCTAAATAAATAGAGCGCATTTTGCACAAAGGTCAATGATAGTTAAATTATAATAATGTTATGTACATCGAATTTCTAGCCTTTGTGTACACACCTGTACCAAATAAGAGACCTTTTTTCAAATCAGCTTCTCAATATTTTAGAAGTGGATAGGTGGAAAAATTGTATTGGATAAGTGGGCAGTGCTGATAATTATAAGAAATAACAACAAAGGTATCATGACATGACATTAAATTAATAGTAAATCTGCGACTATTTAGAAAGCGCAACAATTAAACGTAATGATTATGACGTGACTTGACGTCAGTCAAAGTTGTGAGTTGTCAAAAAATGTCAGCCAACAAGGAAAATAACCTTGTCCAAGCATATATCGAATTAAATAAGTTTTGCCAAAGTGGTGATTATGATCGAGCGTTAAAAGCCACGGGGAAAAGTATGTAGTATCAATTACAATAATTTTCTTTAAGATTTTCTTACAACATTTTCCTTTTGAAAGTAGTACTTCTGGTTTGACTTTTACCCATATTTAATCAGAGTTTTCTTTCGTTAATAGATCGTATCCTTATGTCTATTTCTATTTGTTTACTTTGTAACGTAATTATACAGCCATCTTCAATGTTAGTTGATAATTTATGAAAAATAAATAGGTTAGTCCACAGATACAAAAATAATTAATGCACGAGTTCTAAGTAGGTATGTACACCTGTAATAAAATTTGTTGTCAACCGCATCATGTCCTTTTATTATGAAGTAGGTAGGATTAACACAATATATATATATATATATATATATATATATATATATATAAACCTTATATATAAAACTTGAATCAATAGTCCGTGATCACAACTTTTTATAATTTTCAGTTCTCCAAATAGCTCCTAATGAGCAAAAGGCATTTCACTGCAAAGTGGTATGTTTCCTCCAACTCCATAACTTCAAGGAGGCACTAGCAGTGCTCTGTAACCCTAAAAATGCTGGACTGTCTGTAGATTTGCACTTTGAAAAAGCATACACTCAATACAGGCTCAATTGTCCTAAAGAGGCATTACAGACTGTGGATAATGCACCAGAGCTGACAACTGCTTTGAAAGAGTTAAGGTAATACTTTAAAAGGATGTCACCTTTTTTATTCTCGGGCCTCTCCCATTGCACAGATAAAAGTTCATTTTGTCTTTGTGAGAAGCATCAAAATTACTTGAAAGTGTAACAGTTTTATTATAAATCGGTTTTTGGCATTACAGATATTTAAGTTTAGGTTAAGTTGAAATATCGGTACATTGCTTATAGTACACACGTATTTTCACATTGTATGTATCTGCCCAACTCTTTATTATTTCTTTAATTAATTAATTGTGAATTTGTACAAAATTCGGCATAATAATATATATATAAATTAATTAATATTTACAATAAAGGCAGCATACTCTTGTGTTCAAGTAGTTTTCAGTCGAAGCTAAATATAGTGCATTTCGTTAAGTTTCCAGTAGAAGCTGAATAATTGGTGTTTTTGGGTCCTTAAATTGCTGCAAGCAAAATTAGGCAGTACTGCAATGACGTTACAATTTAAATTAAATGTTTTAGATTTTTAAAATTTTGTTACATGTCACTTTGTATCGGTTAAATTCAGACATTTTTTCGTTGTTTTTGTATTAGACCCGATGTCCATTTGTTGGTAGGTCAATGATTAATATTATTACGAGAGAAAAAAATTACATAAATGAACAAATGACAGCGAAAGTAATGTTTTCCTTGAGAAAAACCACTCATAATTCCTTCTTTCACAATCTAGGGCTCAAATTTTATACCGTTTAGAGCAGTACCAAGACTGCTACAACCTGTACAGAGACATTGTAAAGAACACCACAGATGAATATGAAGATGAGAGAAAAGCTAATATGGCTGCTGTGGTTGCCAACCTTGCTGCTCTTAACCCTGTAAGTGTTTAAGGCATTTGTCTTTTGGAAATAGAATACAAATGTCACTTGGTCGTCTCTATGTTTCCTGTGTGGGATTGTTTTAGAGTTTTTTGTAATTCATAAAAAAATTATCGAGTTCTTTTTTGTGGTAATTTTCAATGATGCTGCTTTTTTATATATACAACTATTATGTAGTTCATTGCAAATATCCATATATTTCGCATGCTATGGTCTGATCAATTTATAGTACAGCCAACAGAATTACAGAATTATGAGATTGTATTAGTTCTGTTTGTTTTTTTATGTTGGTGCAGCCGCGAGTTTCATACGCTTCTTAGAGGCAATATCGGCTTACATGTAGAGTCTTCTGTCTCTCTTAGCTTGAGATTATACATGCTTGTTGAACCACAAACACAAGAGTAATAATAATATGCTTATTGTAAACTGTATTGTGCTTCTACAGAATTCTGATCTTCCACAATTTGGCGAGAACACCTACGAACTAGCATACAATGCAGGATCAACACTAGCTATGCGTGGCAAGTACAATGATGCAATGCCTGTATTAAAACGGGCTGAGCAGGCATGCTCAGAAAGTGTGTTGGAGGATGGTGGCACTGAGGAGGAGGCCAGAGAAGAGGCAGCCATTATCAGGTAACAATGATTATATGACAGGATGGCTGGAGACCCTCACCGAAGGCGACAATGAGGTGGATTATGGTCTAACATCCTCTTATTACAAGAGACTAGTGAAAGTTATAAAGGTACAGGTTGATAATGAAATGAAGTGAGAAATAGAACAATTGAATTTATTTTGGATATTGCCAAATAATGAAAAATGTGATATCCATGGTCACCATATTGCATTTAAACATATTTTCCACTGATTAAGTACTGCTGTACACCAGAAATCAGATAATAGGATCTTATTGTTAATGTAATAAAAAATTGTCGTAAATACTCTTATTTCAGAGTGCAGCAGGCATTCTGCCTACAGCAAATGGGCAAAGAAAAAGAGGCAGCAGGAGTCTACCAAAATGTGTTAAAAGACAAACCAAGCGATCAGGCCCTGGTTGCCATCGCTAGTAATAACCTGGTTGTTATCAATAGGTAGTTCACAATTTTTGTGTTTTGTGGTTCGTAATAACATGGGGAAATAAGGGAAGGGGTTCGGCTGACACACAATTGACATATGCAAACCTATTACAAACATAAATTATTACATCAGCCTGTTACACCACATATCAACTATTACACTTCCAACCATTTTGTAAATAGACAGGGTTATTTTTTAAATATTAACAACCTCGCATGACTATATCGACAGCCCCACCAAATAGACATATAAAAGAAAAACTGCAACTTTCCAGGAGTTATTAAAAACTTAAAAAGTAATATTACTCTCTGGGATTGTTGTATATACTTGAAAACGTTACGAGTATATCTTGTATTAAAATATGAAACACGAAAATATTGATAGTTTATCAGAAATTTCCAAAAAAACCTTTGTCGGCTATTCCCTTGTTGTGTTTACACTTTTATTTGTGGGAAAACTTATATATTTACTTTAAAATAATAATAATAATGACGCACACACTCGACATAGCCCCGCACTACAGGGTCTCCCCTGTGTCGCAAGTGCCACGGACACACACATAGACAATCAAAAATTACACCCAAACTCACGAGAGAAATAAATGTAGGCCATACAAATGTCTCTCCCGGCCCGGGAATCGAACCTAGGACCTCTGCGTGGCAGTTGGGCATGGTAACCGTTGGGTCAAGGAGGCAGTTTGAAAATGTAACATAACATTACTCTGTTTTACTATAGATATTAAGATTTGTCAATGCGATTATATAGTTATGCATGGTTATTCTAGTAATTGGTCATAAATTTTAAACGTGCAAAAATGCATTACAATTTTTAATATTAAATATTTCCACAAACAATATTACAAAGTTAGTTTGTTATAAACATGCAAGAGTAGATACTGTGCAAAATACACAGTTGCAATATTCGTGCGATATTGTTGATTTTATTTTCCGTAGAATAAACATTGGAGACCTAATTATGTAATTAATTAGAAAATAAAACTGAAAAAAAAGTGAGTTGTATTTTGAGCGGGAAAATCCAAAAATACAAAAGAAATATTACGGTAAAAGTTTTTACACGTTAATTCGTTGGGGCCGTCGATATCTCTAACATCATAGACAACTACTTTTGTTCCCTGATTTATAATAATTCATCAGATTGTGCTTTCGTACAAAAATTAATAGATCCCTCTAAACGGTAACAACTTTGTGTGCAGGACGAAGGTAGGAATCATTCTACCAAGTATAGATCTAAAAAGTGTCAGATAGTACAGAGTCAAGAGCACGTCAAGCTTTACACTTGTCCAAAGACAAAGTGTAAAGCTGGAACGAAGTCTTAAAAGTTTATTTTTGGTAAATTTGTTATGTTTCATAAGTCATGGAACAAAAGTTGTTGTTAGTAATATAGTCCTGTGAGGTTATTAGTATTCTATAAATAACCCTGTATAACCGTAATTGACAGTGAATATTTGTCGCTTGTTGAGCTTAGGAATCTAAAATATATCTTATTTCTAGGGATACAAACGTATTCGACTCGCGCAAACGCATGAAAGCTGCGTCCGCTGACGGTCTCGAGCATAAACTGAATTCTCGGCAACGCGCTGCCATTACTTACAACCAGGCCATACTTGCTATTTATTCTAATCAGGTAAGACAATTAATACTAAAGAAAATCTCCGCTATGTCAATTTTGTAACAAATCGAAAGATATGCTGCACTTGATGAAATGTGACCACAGAATGGCTATGAATGACTAATTTCGACTGAAAAATTACAATGTTAAGTCTGTACTTAAGAGGTACATTTATCCTCTGATAAATGTACCTCTTGGCGAATAGGACTAAGACCGTACGTACTATTATTCGACGTCCCTACCAGGACCCTTCAGCGCCTACTGGGACCACTCTGGGAAACTTTGATCTTTATTAACGCCTCATTGTCACAGCACTCAATAAAAACTGGATTAAAAAATAAATATGTGTTATTAGATTCTTATTATAAACACACAATATCATGTCAATCCATTGGTATATACAAGTGTAACAAAAGTCATATTTGAGAATATGACAGTGTTCAGGTTAAGAATGTATGGAAAGTTTAAACAATTTATTTCGAATAACATTTATTTTATGACAGGAATTGTAGTGTGTGTGATAAGTGTCATGGGCAGCTTTATTGCTACACCCGGTATAGGTACACAGCTTTATAATTCAATGGGCAAAACGATAATATCAACGTCACCAATACCGCACGTTTTACCTAGCTTGGATGCAAGTCTTGTACCATATATAACATTTCTTTCACATTCCCATTAGTCGTGACGATGGATAGTCGTGCAATTTAAAGTGTCATGGCTTGTACATTTAAATGAAGTTGTTCACATATAGTACAACACGATTAACTATCGTTCACGACTGTTTTAACGTTACGACGACAGACTATCGTGACTATGGGAACAGCTAAAACGACAGTCTTCAGACGATAAATAAAACGTCACGATAAAAATGTGACGACAGATAATGAGTGCTTCAAACGATTCTGTCGTGCAAACGACAATTAAAGATAAATAAATTGTCGTCACGATATAGTGGGAAAAGCTAGATACGACAGGTGCTCAGCGATAAAATAACGTCCACGACATAGTCACGACAGGTTGTCGTAATATGGGAACAGGCTAGACGCGACAGTCGTCTAACGATAAATAAAACAACACAACATAATGAGAACGCGCCCTCGCGTTAATACAACAATCGTATTCTTGTTTAATTTTCGACTTAATTTAAATTTTTTATTGTTTCCTTTTACATGAATTCGTCCTTTCCTACTAATTTGGCGACTTATTTATACTGGTGTCTTTTGTAGCCTGGTATATAACACAGTTGTTCTTTACGCTATTACATCTATAGTTCTTGTATTAAAGGCCAATATACATAATTATATATACATACAGTAATTTATCAATGTATTATTAAACAGTAATATTATATTTGAATATTTTCAGCCTGATTTCTGCAAGCAATGTTGTGTGAAATTAGTCCGGGAGTTCAGCCAAGAACAACGCGCGGCTCTTGTGGAAGCCGCCTCCCTTGCGAAGGACGGCAAGCGACAACAGGCTGTGACGCTGCTTATGAAGCATGGTGGCATTTTGACTCTCGCTGCTGCACAAGTCTTACTAGCTCAGGTTTGTACGGATCCGTTCCAAAAAAGTAGACTAAATATTGAAAGTGAAATAACAAATTCAACGGAAAAGTTGATACTGACTTTTGTCCCCGGTGAGCCCACCCAGGTGTGGGAACCACGAAATGATGAAAGGCCTAATCTGCATGAGTATTGATTTTGTTGTATTAATAATTATAACAGACTAGTGGAGTAATTTTACAATAATTATTTGAATATCATGGTGGTAAAACATAATATTCTATAAAAATGAATATAACAATAATAATAATAATACTTTCTATTCATCATCATGGTAGGTAAGTACATAACAGTATTGGCACAGTTTTGATGTATAATTTTTGAAAGTTTCGCTATGGTGCACCATTTGGTATGCGAATATAACAAACATAATTACCGACATAAAATGTCTTTATTTTTTTATTTACGTTCACTTAAACATAGTTTACAGCAAGTTTGCATGGCAAAATAACTGCTTTCGACATTGACAGTATAAAATAAAGAAAAATATTTAAAGTATTACATATTTATAGGTATGTTACAAATGTTAAATAACTACTTCCGTGGCCGAACAGTTACCATGCTGACCTGACACGCAGAGGTCCCGAAATATTTGTATGAGTTTTAGTGTAATTTGGTATTGTGTATGAATGTCAGATTTAATAATTCTTATCACTATAATACAGCGGTATCTCACGCCAGTCTCTGATAACTGCATAGGTACCGGCTGAAGCTTCACACCTATAGATTTCTTACAAGTCCCGCTTACGACGTTTTTTATCGCTGCTGTAAAAACCCAATACAAAAAGATCTGTTACACACTTAGAGTAAACACTGCTGACTGAATCTATTGCTCAGTTGGTAGAGCGATGGTCCTAGTTTGACATACAGACCCAGGTTGGAATCCTGTTAGTTCGAAAGAATTTTTCGTTGTGTTCGATCTTTGTAATAATAATTAAATCTGCATAAAGTCGTGTAAAAATGTTCTGGGTCGGTGAACGCTGATAACATGTTAGTTGACAAGATGGCCAATGTAATTCCCAACCTTGACTAGCTAATAATAAGTATACTTTTTCGTATTTCTGAAATAATTTCATGCATAACTTTAGCGTATTAATAAAACAACTTAATGTGTTTCAGGGTGATCGCAAAGCAGCAATAAAGCTTCTTGAAGAAAGTGAGTTCAAATACAAGCCAGCTGTTATTGGTGTGTTATGTACTTTGCTGTGTGCTGACAACGAATATGAGAAGGCATCTCGGTTATTCACTGAAGTTTACGAGCACTATAAGAAGGACGAGGTAAAATTAATATTTAACAGTAGAAATACTTTTTTTTTCAATAAAGGCACTAGAATACTTTGTGCCAACGTCATAGTAAAAGATTAGGGAACGTTGTTTTTTCTTTAATTTTTAAATAAATTTCGTATTTATTATTCTCAGCGCTTCACAGCCCTGCGCACAGTGTGGCGAGCAGCGGCTGAAATCCACCAGCGCGCAGGCAACACAAAAGCTGCCGCTGCTGCGCACGAGGCCCTCGCGAAGGCGGCACCCGAAGATAAGAAGAGCTTAGCTCGACTTGTGAAAGCCTTAGCAGCCGCTGACCCGCAGAGAGCTAAACAATTGGCTAAAAGTTTGCCTCCCGTTGACCAGTTAGAGGTGATTTTTGCTTTTTACGCTAGATATAGAAAACCACCAATGAAAATACTTGCATACCTGATTGGAATCTTTCAACCTGTAATGCCGAAAACCCTGTTCACAATACAGTTAATGAAAACAAATTTTGATTCCAGGGAAAAATCGACATAGATGCTTTAGAGTCATCTAAATGGATGATGGGTGCCAAAGTTGTCAAAAAAACTGTTCAAAGCAAGCAAGAACAGTCACCTGGGTAAGTAACTAACTAATTTAAACTTCCGTCAATATAACGACGATCTCGGTGGGCCAAATTTGCTTTGTGAGCGCTGGATAAGCACGTCCTAGGTTCGATTTCCAGTAGTACAAATTTGGAAAATCATCGTTTCTAAATTAGCTCTGGTCTGGTCCCGGAACACCCAGTGCTTGTGAGTAAGTGTACAATAAACCTTCAATATGTATGTATGCCTAATGTTTGAATGGTGAAACAGTGAAAGTATACTTATTTTGTCACTAGTTATGAGTTAAATAAATCTTGACGTTAATTTATCATTTCCCCAAGTTATTTAGCTACTGGGAACCGAATCCGAGATCTTGTTCTCATAATTTCGTATTCTGTAGTACTTTCATCACTTTAACAGCACATAAACCGCAATAAACTGTGTCTATGCATAAAAAATGTATACCGGTACCTTTATAGTTATTATTACTAAACAGTGTAATGAAAAGGAAAAATAACTTTGTGATGTTCACAAACAAATTTTAAAAATGCACTCACTATTTTTCTGTTAATTTCTAATTTATTAGAATCAGGCGCATTGTTTGTATTCATAAATACAATAGGCATCACAAGCATTGTTGCACCAATATACAGGCCAGGCCCTGGAGATCTGCTCTCGATCTCGAGTATTGCTTATTTGGCAGTAATTGTTTCGGAGGGAGATCGAGAGTAGACCCCCTGTACTCACGTTTTCTATCCGAAACAATTACTGTCAAATAAATAATACTCAACTAAAAGAAGCATGATGCGAATAAAACTTCACATTTCACATGGTCTTTTGGTTCAGTCGAGTAATGATTTCCAACACCCTTGACTGGCCCTTACATCAATTACTGCTCTGCGATTTCTACTGGCATCGCAGAGCGGTGATTGATGTTTTAAGACTACAATACAAAAGTAACACAGCTATCAGTGTGTGTATCTAACAAATTACGGATTCGAATTATCTGAAATAAATAAACGATTATTATTATTACTTATTTGACAGTAATTATTTCGGACAGATGTCGGACGGAGAATGAGGGTAGACCAGGGTTATTTGTAAAACATCAACAATCTAGCTGGACTATTACCAACGACTTAAACAACAACTTTTGTTCCCACGACTTTTCATAATTCATTAGGTTTTACTTTCATTCAAAAATATAAATGTTTAAATTGATAGCACTAAACCATAGGTTCCCAAATTATTTGGCTCATCGCCCACTTAGGTAAGTAAAAAAATTTTAACGCCCACCACCACAAAATAATTGAAAACACATATTTTTCTATTAACTTAACACAAAAAACCAGACGGAAAAAGTAATTGTATATTTTTAGTGTATTTAGATAATTCAGGTTTTTATTTTCAAATGCGGTAGCACTCCCCGGACAGCATCAACTCCCTCCAATTGCTTCTGAGACCCCTACTTTTAGGATTCTTCAGCGCCCACTGGGGGGTAGAGACCACTTTAGGAAACTATGCTCTAAACATTGATAACCACTTCTGTGAAACTGTTCCAACGAACAACTTTTAGGTACAACAAAAGTATTGTCATAATGATTAATTTGTCATGTGAATTTATAGCTTAGTGCTATTAACTTACTGTTTAATGTTTCTTAAAAAATTATTTACAGAACACCTGGTTCAGAATTGCTGCAAAAATCGAAGCCGAAACGCAAGCGTAAAACAAAAATACCTCCTAATGCTGACCTTTCCAAGACTCCCGATCCAGAAAGGTAAATTAGAAGATACCTGTATCTCGACATTGAGATAAAGCATTAAACAAAAGTTTGATGATGACTGTAAATAATAAACTTATCAGGCCATCTAGTGTGTCATTATAATTTCTTAAAAGATAGGACAGATCGGAAGATGAGGAAGATAAGTAAGATCGATGACATAGGCTAGGTGAAAGGTAAATATGATGTAGTAAAAAGAGATACAAGACACAGTTTGCAATATATACAAGCTTAATTTACAATTTACATAAAAATTTTTAAAAAGCCACACTAATATTGTTGAAGATTAATAATATTCTTGATTTTTGGATGGTTACAGATGGCTACCTAAATACGAACGTACGGCGTACAGGAAGAGACGCGGCGTGCGGCGTGACGTCATTAAAGGCAGCCAGGGCATGTCCACTAATGCCACTGACCAATAGTAAGTTTAAAACAATGAAAGAAGAAACAATTGTCAATAATCAAAGCATGACTAAAATATAACAAATTATTTCCAGTGATATGAGTAAGCAGCTACCGAGTGCTGCAACGCCGGCGGCAGCTGCGAAGAGTCCTCGCGTCGAGGCTAAATCCAGCGAGAGCGCTTGGCAAAGAAAACAGCAGCAGAAGAAAAAAGGAAAAGGTCGAAAATGGTAAATGTACCCTTGAAGAAGTATAGAGGAATAAATGTTTTATATATCCTAGATTTTGTTTATTTTTCATATTCCTACTAAAGTTAGAAGAACAACAAAATATTTTTTACACTTCGTGTTTTAAATACGCGATAGTACTGAAACTTGATGGTCACATTCCAACAACAAATTTTCTTTCTGTAATGAATCTATAACAAATTAATAATTAAAAAGAACATAAGGAATTTGTATTATCATTTATTATTATTAAAAATTACCATCACCACACTTATCTCTTTGCATTCTTCCTTTTAGACTTCCCAGGTCTTTGATTCTTCTTGCCTTTAGGCTTAAAGCTACTCCTAGGATTAAATGGTTTCTTTTTAGCTGAACTGTTGAATCCATCCATCTGATTTGTAGACTCTCTAGTATTTAATTTGGATCCTTTCTTTTTACCCCCAAAACCAAACTTTTTGTCCTTATGAGAGCGTTTCTTTGAAATTTTCTTATTAAGATGTCCACCCTTTTGGTTAGGGTTCCTTTGATCTTTTTTGTCTTCAAGGAAATCTAAATCAGATGATTTTCCTTTCCTAACACGTTTTAATTGTTCTAATATTTGTTTCTTTTCAGCAACTTGTTTCAGCTTTGCATCAATCTGTAAACAAAATATGTTACTAAACTGATAAACATATAAATGCTTTTAACAAAGCAGGGAGTTAAAAGTCTAAATAACTTGCTAAGCTTGCTTGCTTGCTTGTAAGCTTGCTACAATAGATAAAATATGACTCACCAAAGGACATTATATTTTATATGCATCATCAATTAACATACCTGCACTCTTTTAGCAATTTTCTTTTGCTCCCTGAGCTGGCGCACTTTTTCTGTGCGTGCCTGGGCTGCTTGCTTAGCCAGCAAGTTCTTGCGCACCTTCTGCATATGCTCATCAGTCTTTGCCATTTCCGCAAAGAAGTCGTCTGGCCTGAGGAATAATAAGACATGGTATTTTATAGTTTCAGTTAATAACAGAATAAAGTTAGTAAGTTTTTACTAACTTTATTCTGTTATTAACTTATCACTTAAAAGATTTCAATACCTCCTTGTAGGAACACCAAGCTCCTTCAGTCTCTTAATGCCCTCAACAACAGCAGCTTGCGCCTGACGGTGGATCAGATTCTCCCGTTTGAACTCATTCAATACTGGATCCTGTGCAGGATCATATATGTGACTGCCTTTGCTGTTTTCCTTTATATTTCTAGAACATTGAATAATTCATATATATAATATATATATATATAATATATATTGGTGCAGAGTCAAAGCATATACATATATATAATATATATATATATGCTTTAACTCTACACCAGTGACTTGAGCTTACATACCTACTTAAATTTGCTTAAAAAGAAATATAGGAGGTTATACACCGCACAATTTTTTTTACAATTCATTATAATGAAAGGGAGATACCAAGTGGCTCATATGTTGATGCACCTTTATCAGGGGGTCTACTCTCAATCTCCGTCTGACATCCGTCCGAAACAATTACTGTCAAATAAGTAATATTCGACAAAATTAAAAGACAAGTATCAAGTATGAAGCTTCAGTCGCATCACGCGTCTTTTCATTTGGTCAAGTATTGCTTATTTGGCAGTAATTGTTTCGGACGGAGATCGAGAGTAGACGTGGTGTATAAATGTACTTACTTCTGTCTCTGTGTTGTTTCTTCTAATTGTAGAGCCACGTCTGGTGCCATAGGCGCAACAGTGGTCACTAAATCTAAAGTTTCAACCCATGGTAATTTCAGTTTAAACTCTTTCAGTTTTGCCTTCAAATCGGCTACATTATTTACATACTTTTTCTCTACTTTCTCGATTTCTTCATTAAGACCCGGTTTAAGTAATCCTTTAGCAAAGGCTTCTTGTAACTGTAAAAATTTTTATTTTTTAATTTTTTATGCCGACCACTTTGCAAAATTTACATATGGATGGACATTCGTGGCTTACCTCTTCATCAGAATCCAATTCTGTATCACTATCATTTAACACAAAATCAGTCATTTTTTAAATCAAAGAGCTTAGTAAAACCAATGCAAAAACTCAAGAAAATATAACCTTAAAAATAAGCGCATGCTTGACAGCTATTTATTTTTTACCCGGGAACTTTTTTTAACTTGTAGCGCAGCCATTCTGCGGTTCTGCCTATTGTTGAGTAATTTTTCGAAATATTTTAAAAAATGGAATTGACTTTAATTAAAATAGGACTTGGTATAAATAACCTCTTGTAACCGGGTCGTGAACCCGGTAATAATTATTATGAATAATTATGTCTTAAGTTTAGATATACCCATCTTTTGAAGGTATTAATAGCGTGAATTAGTGCGACAATACACGTTCTTTTTTTCCATCCGATAGTCTGATCCGACTATCGGAAGGCGCTCGTACCATATAATTGTATGAACGCTCAATACAAGGTGGTCCACGTCAGAAATAGCGTCCGATTTTATTATATAGTCTGAAGGCGCGCTCTCTATACTTTTGCGGGGAAACGAAATGCACGTCCGATTCTTCCCTCCGTCCTCCGATTTGCAGCGTTGCCAATGCGAATTATTCAAAATTCCCAAAAATCAAGGTTATTTTGGGGAGAGCAAAGGTCATATTTCCCACATTACGTAATAATATTTATTCATTCTCTGTATTTATTGTATTATTATTGTTACGCTTAAAAATATATTAAATAACTAAGAAAGTCAAAATGTGCCCATCTATTACATATACGTTATGCTATAATTAGAAATAAACTCAACAAGGTGAATTAAGTTTAAACCTTAATATTTAAGCTAGACGAATGGCAAGTTGTGATATTAAGGTCTATCCGTACATATCCGGGCCGTGTCCAGGACGTGGACGGGCCGTGCCAGGGACATGGACGGGCCGTGCCCGGGACGTGGACGGTTCGTGCTCCGTCAGGGGCTCAAAAAAATAACGTTGCGTTTATTTTCTATGAACTCGTCACACACGTCGTGAGTCGTGACGTGTATTGAGTGAATCCGATCCGATAGTCGGATCCGACCATCAGACACGAAATAGGACGTGTATTCCCGCGCTAAAACGAAATTATACAATAATTGGACAACATTGAAAAAATAATATTAATAGGTAAAAAAATCTTTAGGCTCCATTGACTTACAAATACAATTTAGGCTCCATCGTTTTCGTTGAGTATTCTTCTTCTTTATAATGATATAGCCACGATAGTCTATTCTATTCTATTTTCTTAATGGCGGCCACTAGGCTTGGGTCAGTGTCAGTTTCGATTAATGTTGTCAGTTAATATTATTCAATAATATCTTCTTGGCTCCATCGATACTATCGATGGTTCTGCCAATGTCTCGTTGAGTATCTTCTAGGGTGAAAAGTGAAAATCTTTAACTTTTGACAGATGTCCACTGTCAAATGTGGAAAAATATTTTTTAATACAGTTGCTCAAAACGTGGTATTTTTCGTACTACAAATCGTGCCGAAAGTTGCATTTTTCGCACTAGTGCTTTTTATTTTTCTATTTTTTTTTAAATTTACTGTTGTTTCAAGTCTCAGGGTCGTATTCCAGAACTGTACTCAATGCTCAAGTCAGGACTTGAGTATGATTTCAAGCACTGGCCATACGAGTACGACCCTAATGGCAAGGGCTTGAGTATGATTTTCAGTGCTTTAAATCATACTCAAGTCCTGACTTGAGCATTGAGTAGAGTTCTGGAATACGGCTCAGGGCCGTATTCCAGAACTGTACTCAATATTTTTCGTACTACAAATCGTGCCGAAAGTTGGATTTCTCGCACAAGTGCTTTTTATTTTTTTTGAATTTACTGTTGTTTCAAGTGTCAGGGTCGTATTCCAGAACTCTACTCAATGCTCAAGTCAGGATTTGAGCAAATTTGAGTACGATTTCAAGCACTGGAAATACGACCCTAATGGAAGGGACTTGAGTATGATTTCGAGTGCTTTAAACCATACTCAAATCCTGACTTGAGCATTGAGTAGAGTTCTAGAAGACGACTCTTAAACGCGTTTATTTAATATTTATGTACTTTGTGACGTAAGTCATTTGTCATCAAAATATATTTACTTACAAACACCTTATTTGTTTAAATTGCATAGGTGTTTTATAAAACAACGAGTTACATTTAATAATACCAAAATATTTTCCATAAAGATGGTTGAGTCAGTATTAACAATGACCGGAGGTGATTATTACGCGAGACCCATCGACATCATAACGTTAGATTATGATGTCGATGGCGAGACCGCTGCGCGCCGCACCACTAAAATAGTAATTTTATACTGGCAACAGTTGCCACATTGAAAAAAGTCGGTCAAAAAAAGTACTAACTTTTTTCACGTACTTTCCCGCCTTTTTCACTTACTTTTTTTAAAAATACTGTTTTATTTTACTTTCAATGTAGTTTTTTCGCGTAATAAAAAACGAGAAAAAATAAAAAGAAATATGAAAATGTATTAAAAAACATCGTTTGACACACTTGCGGATTTGTCATTTTCACTTGTCTCGAGCTCCATCCTCTAAGGTCTCGAGCCTCGTGAATAAAGACTAACTTCCGCACTTGTATCAAAAATAACTATTTCAAAATGGAAACTTTTTTATGACCCAACGCCCAAGACTCATTCTGCCCAACCTAACTCATAATTGTAGGTGCTTACTCAAAAAATGTAATTATGTTTTTTGTGCAGAAATAAAATAATGCGTTCTGCAGGTCTTCACGATCCGTATCATAGATGTCAATGTCATTAATATAGAATTCGTGAAATGGATCGAAAAATACTTACCGATTGACTGAACGAGGAGCTCGCTTATTACAAAGTAATTTGTGTAGCTTGCGTATCACAATCACAATCCATGTCAAAGAGATAACCCATATTATTTAAAATTGTTCAATATTATTATGCGTTATTATTCTAAGATTATTGGTATTGACTCGCGTCTATAGTATTGACTTGGATCGCGATGAATCCGAACGATTTTTGAAATACGCGGCACAAAATCGGCTTGTTTAAAACGGCCCATTCACTACATACATAGTAGTCAGGAGACTACTCACACACTATCCTGCATGTGGCTCACTTGGAGTCTCGCAGGACGCACTGCAGGATTGCAGGATGGCATGCACGCTGCGACAACATTCATAATCTTTCATTACGCGGCAGGCGGCAAGCCGGACTGCAATGCAGGATAATGAACCTTTTAATTCTTCATGCATGTTTAGGCGACGTTGTTTAGTTGTAATGTCCTACATGCATCTACGTGTTCGACTGTCGCTTCAAGGTGTAAAGCAAACGATCAATACCTACAGCGTGATTCAAGCTAAAATCTAAGCGCTCGCCCCAACTAAAAAATGAAACCTTCTAAAGAATACATACTTTGTGTGAAAATTATACGAAATGTTTCATTTGTTTACATTGTTTCCCCACGTATTATATCCTGATTAAAGTTTTATGTCGGCACACATTTAATTTTATAATCAAATTAGGAATTATTATTATTTACAACTTATTTACAACTTCTTAACAAGTGAGACACCTCACTTGTTAAACTAGCACAAAATGAACGTGGGTTTAGGTAAAACAAAACCCGGGAGCATAAAGTCTAAAGTCTTTTATTTCTATTGAATTTTATTGAAAGGTGTGCCAATATGATACATCTATACTTTTACGATATATAATACGTATATAAAAATAAATTATATTTGATTAAAGTATTTTTGTAAATCTCAAATTCTTTTGAACACATTCACAAAAATTACGAACGCAGCTGTAATGCAAAAGTATACATAAATTATCTGTGTTTTAAAAAAATAATTCAGTACCATTTTCATAGACAATTTCGTAGTTTCTTGAATTCCTTAAAATACTTATTTCATTAACTAGCCTTATTATTAAAATGAATTTATAATGGTAAATATTTGTATGTTATGATAATTAAAAATTTTTAACAATTAATATCTTATTTTCTTTTATTTGATAATAAATTATTTTGTAATTGGAGGAACCGGAAACTGTAGGTACTTCGACATGTATCGTGAAACCCCGTTGTTTTGTATCGAGAAAATGCAATGGCCGCCATCTTCGACTCTTGTGAATGTTTTGGTCGTAGTTTCGGTCTTTGAGGTCTATTTCATTTGTGCTATGCAGTTATTTGATGGAAATTGTTTCGCTACATCCTAAGTGTTATTAATACGTTTGCGCACAGGTTAGTACCGATTTCTTTTACCATTTTCTATAAAAGTGTTTACATCTGGATTTCGTTGCACTTAGCATTTGTGATGTTGTCATTTTCGTTTTGTATACAGTGTTTATCCTAGTCTGAATCGTTTTTATTCGAGAAATAATAGTATACAAGTCAATAATGTCTAGCTGAGGTGTTATAAATATACAAACCTCATTTTCGCATGTACTTATATTTCTCACCTCTTTGTTACTAAGAGGGCTAAATAAAGCATTTGTCGAAGTAATCCAAGTTATTTCGTTGGTGTAATCATTTATTTCAATGATATATTTCATATTTTAGGTTAGTGTTTACTTTTTTGATGTTTATTCGAGAGACATTTCAGTTTCCGTGCCACAATAATGGCGGCAGTGGATTAACCTATCCACTTAAAATGTTCAATTAATTACTAGCTACAGCGTTTATTGTGGTTTATTTTGGTGTTTTTCATTATATTTTCTCGTAGGAATTGGTAAAAGAATGACTTTCGCCTATTTCGTGGAACAATGACCTCGACTGTCATATCCTATTTATGGACTAAAAATATTATACGAAGAATATTATGATGTTCATCGCACATAAATATGAGAATTATGAAGACATATGGGTAACAAGTCAATTTTCGCTTGCAGTCACATGAAATAAAGTTTGGAGGCCCAGGTGCACTCCAAGGCGTCATCTCGGGCTTGACCCAAGATGATAATATACACAGCATGTCAACTACATCAGAATGTGAACCAGCGGCCCGGCAAGTGAGTACAGACTCTTTTCCTACTTGAACACATACTTTCCAAGCACCTATTAATCTTCCTAAATCTCTATAGTGATATATTTATTTTCTATACAGCTCTGTGAATTTTCTGAAGTCCAGATTTACTGTTTAGAGCTTTGAATTGTCTTATAACATCCTTGTTATCATTGGAATTTGTGTCCATTCTTATTGGTTTTTTTTACACACTTTCTATTTTGTATATAGTGTTAAATTTCTCAGTTAATCATTTATAAGTGTGACTGAAAATTATCCAAAAACTTAGTTGTTATTATGGATGATATGTTTTGTGACCATTATTTAGTGTGCGCTTAAGTTGATTGTACGTAAATAAAGATTTGTAAATCAATGTGTATTCATTAATAACCTTCATGTATAATTATGTTACCATATGCTTAGTATTTTCAGCCATATTGGTGAGTTTGTAATATATTTGGCATTTTTAACATTTCAAAGTGACTTATCGTAAATTGAAGTTGAATGAGGACAATTTTGATATGACATGTTATTCAAATTTGTACACGCAATGCAACATATGTTGATTGTATGATAATAAATTCATTCACTGGGGGACAGTGGCTGCTATCAATGCTGTTGCAAAGTTGTAATTTTGATTTAAGAGAGATCTCCAACTTGCTTGCTTTCGATTTGTAACTTAAACTTTAATTCAATCAGTGATTGTTGATTTGGACAATAAGATTTATTACTTCTTTTTAAGTTTCTCTCAAAGAGTTCTGCCAATGTTTAGTCATGGGTATTACACCTTTTTTTATTATGTTTAACTGCTTAACACTGCTTTTTAAGTCCACAACAGCTTCAGGAACCATATGGTTTGTGAAGCTGTTATGGACTATTATACTTTTCTATAAAAACAACATGTTAGGCCAATAAGATTTAATTGAAATGTTCCTAATGCTAATTATGTCCATGTATCTTTTATGAATTTTATTACAAATACCCCACGAGCACCTAAGATTGTCATTCTAAGTAGCCAAAATAATAATTAATATTTTATATTGAAACTGCATAATCTTATGTTGTTTGTTACAGGATTACAGGCCGGCCACCTCCAGTGAAAACATCTTTGAACATGTATTGGATCACAAACTAACAGATACTAATATGAGCCTACCAAGTGTTAGAACTCCTGTTTTGAGGGCTTTGCCCATTTCCCCTGTAGAGGGTGATCCAGAACCAGATTCCACAAACCATGAAAGCATCATTCAATCTGCACACAACAAATCAGATAAAGAAGTAGAGTATCACATTGCTGATAAAGGATGTGATACAGATTTGCCTGTTGAATCCATTTCTGGTATTGTCAGAATTGAAGAGGGTGCTGTTGATAATGTGGGGCATATTTCTTACCCTATTATTCAAGAAGGTGAAGATTCGACTGATGGAAACTATGTTGAAAACTCTGCCACTATCATTCAAGCTCCACTAAACACCGCGATAGTACAAAACGTCGCGAAACTGCCGCAGAATTTCACCATTAATGTTGATACTGCTACTGTTGGCAACATTACCACTTTGCAAAATTTATCCCAAGATGTATCTGGCAACCAAACATTATGGTTGCCTACAATTCTTGCAACCAGTGCTCCAACTACAGATAATAAAAGTGAGGAAGAGAGACAACAACCAGGACTCTCCCAGATCATAATAACCAGCGAAAGTTACGTCAGTGACACTAATCAAATTGGAAGGAGAGCTAACATTGTCACAGAGACTAATTATGTCAATCGACCTAAAGCATCAAAAGTGCAGATTTTAAGCAATATACCGATTCCTAAGAATCCCAACTATTCACAAATGCCATCACCTGTATATGGAGCTCAAAATCATGTATATGTAAGTAAGTTAAGTACGAATGTTGTCTCTCAAAAGCAACTAAACAATTCAGTACTTTGTACAAAGCCACCAAAAAGTCAATCTCTTATTGGCTGCTCCAACATATCTCCTACAGTAGTGAACAACAGTCCAATCAAGAATGTGTCTTATAGTCATTCATTTACTAAATCTACAAATCTGAATAAGACACTGAATAAAGTTAACAATGGTGCTAACCTGAATGCAATGGTCGCCGCCTCCTCTGGCAATACTCAATGTTATACTTTGTCTCGAGTTGTATCAGGACCCAATAAGATGTCAGTACATTCTGGAAGAAAATCTGTCAATGCATTTAAGGGTTCAAAAAACTCAAGTCAAGTGTCTGGTCAAAAGAACCAATCAAGAGCCATTAAGATAATACAACAGACCGGTTTAGTGCACAAATCAGAAGCCAAGACTTGGCCTGTAGCCAGTGTGGCTACATACAAGAGCCAACAGCCGATTTACGGTGTTGTGGATTCAAATACTTCCAAGATTATTCAGAAAGTGGGAAGTCCTCCGCATAAGACTCAAGCTCCTATGCCTTTGTCGAAATTCCCTTCAAAAGGGGAGCGTTTGGTACTTCAATCGCCATGTGGGCCAGTATTGATATCTACAGCGCCAATCAGTACAAGTCTGCCTAAAGGCCCGCATTACGTCCAGTCAGGATCGACACCAAACTTACGCTACGTGCAAACGTACGGATCAACGACGGAGCAGATCAATTCGGTAGCGCAAGTGTCAGCTAATCAGCAGTTGACTGCCCAGATACTTCAGTCGTTGTCACAGCCTAAGCTGATGTTTCAACCGAGTCCCAATGCAATTAATCATAGTTTAGCTCCACCGCCTCCAGTTGTTGAAGAGATAGATGTAAAACCAGTAAATCAAAAACGCATAGTCTTGTAAGTAAACCTACTTAATTGTTTACTGTAATTTTGTTATTGCTTTACCATGATTTTTTACTGTAATTGTTTTTTAATTATAATATTTATTTTATCTTTCAGTGGTGACAAATCTACACTTCTTACAGCAGATGATATAATTGGTATGGAAGAGAGACCCAATCTTAGTGAGGAATTCAGAAGATATTCCTTTCAGCCTTTGGCTTTTGTCATGCTTGACCATACATATGCATTACCAGCTCAGAAACAGCCTTCACCTACACCTCCAACCACGTCAGCTGCAAGTGTACCTCCAGCTATTATGTCACCAACGCAAATCACTTCGCCAATGAGTCCAGTAAAGAGAACCTCCCCTGTAATAATGTCTACTGCTAATTTCGAATTACCGATGACTGTTCCAACTAGTGCGGCCGGAGCTCCTATTCCAGTTACTTCTATTCCCATGGGAGCACTCACGTATAAACCGCAGCCACCGGCGCCGCCACCGCCACCGCCACCGCCGCAGGATGACGACGCCGCATCTGTCATATCATCCATAGACGGAGATAGAAGACAAGCAGATAGAGGTGGCAGCGACACAGAAACCGCTCCTGAGGGAGAAGATGAAGGAAAAACCAGGTGTATCTGCGATTTCACTCATGACGACGGGTATATGATTTGCTGCGATCGGTGTGGGGAATGGCAGCACGTTGATTGTATGGGTATTGACAGGCAGAATATACCGGATTCCTACATGTGTGAGTTGTGCCAGCCGAGGCTGATCGATCGTCGCCATGCTCGTGCCATTCAAATGAGAAAAAGAGAAGAATTGAGTGCTCTTGGCGCATCTGATTCTGAGTCATCAGAAACGGGACGTTTGCCAGGACAAAGACGAAAACGTCTCCTTACAGTTACAACTTACACAAATACCAGCGGATCATGCGTCACTACTTACAATTCGAGTATCCCAGTTCTGCCGCCTTTACCGCAACCATCGCTCACTTTGCCGAAACGTGGCCCCAAGCGGCCGAAGAAAACTGAAGTTATCAGAAAAGGAACTAAACGAAAGCTTGCGGAAAAAAGAGTAAAGAGGAAGAAGGAAATGATGATGAACAGAAGCAAGTATAACTCAAATATTTCTAACCAATCTCATTGGCAAGACTCTTACGAGCTTGCTATGACTAATCACTATAGCCCAGAGTTAAGAGCTAAAATAATGAAATATAGCAGCAAATTGGGTAATAATCCTAACATGGCGTCAGCGATCAATGCACACTTATGCACTACAGTTCCCCATGCTGGAGGAAAAATTCTAATTGCCACAAAGGATTTGAAAGAAAACACTCCCGTTATTGAACTTCGAGGCAAATACATGCTTTCAAATCAACACAGGCCACAATTACAGAGCTCCGCTAGAGCTGGCAGTCAAAAGCCAGGTCCCTTCGTATTCTTCTACAGATTACCAAAAGATAATACCCAAATATGCATCGATACACGAACATATGGCAATGAAGCCAGATTTGTTCGCCGATCATGTAAACCTAACGCGGAGCTCCAACACTGCATTGTCAAAGGTGCTCTTCACGTTTTTCTGGTAACTATCGGAGTTATTCAGTCGAATACAGAGATAACTGTTGGACATGACAATAACGGTGCGAAGCAGCCATGTGCTTGCGGCAATCCTAAACATTGTAAAGTAAACGGACTTACTTCTTTGCCTACTCGAAAGGGTATGGATTATCCACCAAGAGAAAAGCGAAGCAGGAATAGATGCTCAAGTTCATCTTCGCCTGTGTCGCCATCACCAACCCCAGTTACTCCTGTGAAGGAACAGCCACCCCCCATTACACCACTGAAATCGGAGAAAAAATCTCCAATAAAACATGAATATCCTCTGTCACCCGTTAAAAATGCCGTAGTTGCTCTAAATTTTGAAGAACCTATGAAGGCTGAAATATCGGAAGTAAAAACTGAAATAGATTTACTTGCTAAAGAAGAGATGAAACCGGAAATTGATGAACCAGATTTCGTAAAAACAGAACCTGAACCTCTAATGGCGGAGGAGAAAGTGGACGAGAAACTAGAAGATGTAAAGCCGGAACCAGAACCCAAACCTGAAATCATTGTTGAAGAAGAGGAAATAGAAGAAAAGCCGGAAGTCAAAATTGAAGAAACTCCAGTTTCCGACGACGAAAAGCCTCCAAAGTTCGAGGAGAAGAAACCTAAAGATGAGCCAAAAGATGAAGAAGAAAGACCTGTAACTCGGGAGTTCACTGCAAAGTCTGCCTGCCACGATAGATCATCGCGATCGAGCAGGAATACTTGTGTAAATCAAGATTCTATTGACGACAAAACTGACGACTCCCAGGATAAGATCCTAACTTCAAAAGAGAAAGAAAAAGAGAAACGGAAAATGGTAAGTATATCCTATCTTATTTTCTTAACGTCGACACAATACTTTCAAGGTAATGTTAATGTTTTATATTTTTCAGACTCGCGAAGAGCGCAAAATGGAAGCAATAATGAAAGCATTCGAGCGCATGGAAAAAGCTGAACAGCGGAAACAGGAGGTGAAAGAGAGGCAAAAGCGTCGTGAGTCTGACCCGCATCCCAACTCGTTTGAGAAGGACGAGGACGACGATCACTGCGGTTCCAAAAAACGGAAGAAGTAAGCGTTCCACGACACGCTCTAAGTAGGCGATGATAACGGCGTTCCGTTAGATGATGCGAGAATAAATCACAATTATTACTTTCATAGGCGCAAGGGGCGAGCCCGCACTACATCACAATCCAACCGACGCCGCCTTAACTCCGCTGACAGCGATATGGTGACTTCAGGCGACGAAGCCCCGCGGTCGCCGCCGCGTGTGTCGTTACCGCGCCGCGCGTCGCACAATGCGTCTCACAACACGTTACATAGCACATCGAATAGCGCGTCTCTCAGCGTCCAGCCCGCGCTACAGCCGCAGCCAACGCCGGCATTGCTGCCCGACCCGCACACCCCAGAGGTGAGCCCCGTTCATTTTCTTGCTGGCAAATACTTAAATACATTTTTAGTACTAATGAATCCCCTTATTTCAGAATCTCGGCGTGAGTTCCACCTGCGTCCTCGTGGAAGCCGCGCTCGGCTCCGTGGAGTCCGCGTTCAAACTCCCCAAAACCAAGAAGACGATCGCCACCGAGTGGCTCGGTCGCTCGCCGGAGCGGACGCCGTCGCCGTACCGGTCCCCGTACAGGCCGGCGCTCGTGTCGGCGCCGTCTCTGGAGAGCCTCGTGCGCGTGGCCTCGACCATGATCGGTGACCTGAGCGGGCACGACATGGAGCCCGAGGACGAGGCGGCCCGCTCGTCGCCGCCGAGGACGCCCGGCCGCGACCGCGACCGCAACCGCCCGCCCAAGAAGTCCAAGCGCGTCACTCGCAGCACGCCGCCAGCCGAGGTCGTGGAAGTGGCACCGCCGGTGGTCCCGCAGCACAGTGCGAAGAAACGTTGGTTGCGGCAGGCCATTAGCGAGGAAAGCGACTCGCCATGTCCAGGTTTGTCTTCGACTAGTACGAGATCTTTTATTTTCGCAGTCGATTAAAATCTGCTCTGTGCTACGTTAAAGTGTAGACGCTTTCGTTTCAGAATCTCCGCCCAATGAGATGGTTACGCCATTGAAAAAGAGGCGATTAGCGAGAGAATCGCTGTCGTGCGAACAAAATACTATTGTGCCTGTAAGTTGGAATTACTATTTTAAGCTTACTTATGTGACTTTGTTTCTCAGTTCGTTGTTAAAGTATTATTTTTTGTGCAGTGTAATGATGAAACTTCGCCTGTATTGACATCTGAAGACTCCCCGGTCAAAGATGACCCGCAAACGAGTCTCCGACAGTACAAAGTGAGGAACATCATGGATAGCATCTACGGCAGAGATCGAACGCGGTCCGACAGCGGCCAAGGCTCCGACGATCAGTGCAACATCGACAACGACGTCCTCAATGTCAACATTGGAGGGCCACACGACAGCGAACACATCAGGAGGATAATCGGAGTACCGACCCCTGAAGAAGAATTACCCCCAGAGATACCGCAGCCGGAGGAAATGAAAAGTAACAACAACAACATTGAAGAGGAGAGTGGGTACAACAAAGTAGTCCCTATGGAAATCGACACGACAATGCCGCAGCCAAAAATAGAGTCCAATGACAACAGTAACAGTGAAATTAAAGAAATGGAAAGCCCAAACGAGAAACTGAACAGCAGTCAGTCGGCAGACACTAGCGGCAACTCATCGCCGCAACGTGACGAAATGGACGACATTCAGAAGAAAATCCACTCATTCCATACAGAGAACATTCTAATACTCAAAAGCAGGAACAAGAAGCCGCCAAAAGAAAAGCGGAAGAAAGTGAACTTAAATTTCGATCTCAACATGGTAGATGACCAAATCAGTATTCAGTTGCGTACTGACGACACGAATAGCTCCAAGTCGTCGGATGTTAATGGAGATATGAATGACGACATGAGTAATTCGGTTCACGATGACGCAAAGTTGCACGTGTCGCCGGAAAATATTCCTCTTCCACCAGTGGAGTCGATACCGCTACCGGCGCCGGAGAATATTCCTTTACCCGAGGAACCAAGTCCCATGCCAGTCATACCACCGCCCGAAGCGATACCCCTACCAGAGGAGCCGATGAAGCCTATAAAACCGGTGGTCAGGTTAACCACGCCGCCTCCTGAGAAATCTGAAGAGATTTGTTTCGGTCTCGATAGACCCTCAGTTCTCGACAACGCTAACACACCATTCTTATCACGCTTCAGCTCAACAGGGTTGTTCTCGGGTATATTCAGCAACATGAACCAATCGTTCAACATGGACAGCGCAATAAACGAGAACGTCCCCAACATGTCTATAATAAAGAGTGCAATAGATAGGACTACAAGTTTAGAGAGTAGTTTGTTTGACAAAGACAGTATTACGCCAGTGGACGAGTTGAAGAGCGTTCAGGAGATACTGACTCGTGTGAACAATATGGACTCTAATAACAGTGTGTTACTGTCAGGCGTGTTAAAAAGCTCGAATAAATCGAGCTTGCTGCCGTCGCCTTCTCCGAAGGCTACCGCCAAGCCGTACGGCGCGCGGAGTAACGACCCCCGACTGAACCCTCCTCCTACGGAAAAGCCCAAACCAGTCAGAAGAAAGGTAAGTTTCAACTCGACTTCAACTGCTGCGCGAGTCGCGATTTTGCTAATGCGAGTTGTTTGTATAACCTCAAATGTGAATTACAGTGAAATTTTTTATTAAAAAAAACATTGCTAGGTCTATGAGACTATGTCTATTTAATTTTGAGTTAGTCGTCATTGCTAAGATAATGATCGCAATCAGTAGCAATAGTTGCTTATAGAAACCTGGTTGCAGCTCTCTATAACGGAGTACCGCAAACGGCACAAGGGTGCGGCAGCTAGCGACGAGGGCGGCGCGGAGGGCCGCAGAGGGCCGGACGTTGAGGGAGGGCCCGAGTGGTCGTCGGAGTCCTCGGGCGGGTCGGGCGCCGGTCTGTCGCCGCAGCGGCTCGACGCCGCCGCGCAGGCCGCCGCTGATGAACTTGAGCAGCGCTTACACCGCGACCTCTCCGCCACTCATTTGCCTAAAGGTAACCTGACGTGTCCCAGCATATCAAGCGGCTAGCCCTTTGTTTCCTACGAATGTCATTCTCTCGTTATTTTCACCAATTCATCAAGGACTGCAACACCTAACGATACGATGTCAGTCACTATTTACAGTGTACAACAATTCGATGTATTTATTGCGTATTTTCCACAACCACACATTCGCATTGAATGGAAAGTGCGTATTGTTATTAATATTAATTTTCCAATTACTATGTTAGTAAGCAACGCACTATAAATATTGCAGTTGTTTAATATAAATCAATTCAATTGATCTTAATTCCAAGTAATTACAATTCACAGTCCACATAGCAGGGTGTAGACACACTCGATTAGCGAGCGATTGTTGATTTTCGTCGAGACCGTACTGGTTAACGCTAACAATCTATCATTCAGTGATTATTTCTATAAGCGTGTTTAGGAAAAAAAATATTCAAATGTAACCTTTGCATCTCCTAATTTTGTATATAATAATAAGCTATGAAGAAGAATGATTTAATTTGTCAGTTGAACATTAAGTTAGTAAATTACATAAAGAAAAACCTGAGTTACGTATTTTACTAGCTCATATGTTCATCTAAATACATGAGAACTTTCTGAGCCACTTCCTAATGGCATTATTAACTAACACTAGATCTTCGGTGTTTTGTAGAATATATAAACGATATTTTGAAAAAAAAAATACCACAGGTTTTAGGTTTAAACAACTGTTTTAAAATATTTACGTCCTGCTTTAAAATTCAGTTTTGGTTTTAATTAAGTATAAGTTTTTAAAATGCAATTAATACACGACGTAAATATTTCAAAACAGCCATGAAAACCTTGAACATCTGAAAAAGTTTTCGATATGTCGCTTACGCCTGACGTTTCTGCAAAACGCCGACAACATGTTCTCAACGTAGTTGTAAACCCACAACAGTTAATTGAGGGAGTGAAGGAAACGGGCAGTTACGTCAACAAACAATTGCCCGAGTATACCTATAAGTATCCGGTATACCTCAACTTATCGAAAATAACTTTGCACGTACCTATGTATGAGGCGTGAATATATGATTTATCATGAAGTGCTTTTAACGCGAGCCTACGTTTTAGGAGGTGAGACAGGGGGCCGCGTCCCTCAATTCGCGTACTGAAAATTAATATGAATGAAAATAACAGCAGGCGGCGAAAACTTGATACATACTTTGTGATTTTTTGCTAAATAACAGTAAAGCATTTTCTGCATATTTTATTCAAACATGAATAATTCTTCTGAAATTACCACTTAAAATATCCAATGTTAGATACATTAATACAGATACCTAAGTCTACGTACGTAAGCAAAAGCTAGTAAAGTACGAGTTATTTGTGTCACCAGTTAACTCGCGCACTCAAACATATGTCGAGTCCATAGACAAATAATGGCTGCAAAGACCTTGGACATACTGGCTTTACAACAATACTGCGTTGTAACAGATTGTAAAATTAATTATTCATACATGTAGCTTTTTGCGTTCATCACATACTCGTATACTAAGATATACTACGTCCGTTCATACACGTGCCGAGCCAATGGAGCGTTTCGTTATACGATTTTTTAACTCGATTTTTATAGCAAAAACCTTATTACAAAGTCATAAAGTTCATTGTCATTTGCGAGCTCGTAGATTTAAATTTTTCTGAACTTTTATCAGCTTCGTAAAAGTACTATTTGTTCATGCTTATGTAATTATTATCTGGAATGACGAACACATTTGTCCATTTTATAAACATCGGAATGTTAACATCCTTTATGCAATTAATTATGTTACTATTTATAAAAGTTGAAAACATTTTTTTTTATTATGTAATAGATTTGAAGGTCGCCACTAAACTTTTGTATATTGATGCAGGCAGTTATAACCATTCGTAATTTGTGTATGGGCCCGTTGATGATTAACGATCGTTGTTTATGTATGATACCGTTACAAACACCCAACAACTTGTACCAATTAATATTTGTATTTGAAACTGGACCGCACGAGGAGAATCAGGAAGGGGGAGGAGAGGCCCGGTTCCAAGGTCGCCGTCACGACTGTATTACGTACAGCGAGTAATTAAGCGGCAGATTGAGTGTGGTAGATCGAAGTGCAGGCTAACGAGTGATGGGTGGTGTGGTGCAGGCGTGTTCGACGCGCGCGCGACGGGCGCCGAGCGCGTGCGCGAGAACCTGAGCGTGCGCCTGCGCCGCGAGTTCGGGCTGGCGCTGCCGGACGACGAGGACAGCCGCCACGCCGCGGCCACCGCCGCCTCGTCGCCCGCCTCGGCCGTAGCGCCTCTCACGCCGGGTAATTACTCCTGCCACTTAGCATCAGAGCCGTAGCTCGCGGGCCCTATACACGTGTTGATTCCTACTCACCGGTGCGGGGATATTGCTTTTTGTGCCAAATTTTCCAGTCGCGTGTTTCCAGTGTGGTTTTTAACGGTTCGTTTTGTCCGCAGACGGCGTGTCGTCGGCGAAGCGCTGCGACAGGTAGAGCCGGCGCGCCTCGCTATAAATAACATATTTTTGTAAATCTCATCGACGCCGGCCCGTCGTCGTCTGTAATATAATAATTAATATAAATTTTGTATGGACTCGCGTAGGAGCGCTCTCGCGCAAATTGTATATTTCCGTTTCACTTCTACGTTTTATTTGTCACGGTTTTTCTGCAAGTACAAATTGTTTTTATTTCCCTTTGTACATACTGTATATAGAAGAGTTTAAGATAAGGTAGGGAACCTACTCGGTACGTATGTGTATGTATAACGATTTAAAAAGATTTTTTATATATGTACACTGTTTATGTATCTTATTGATATGTTTTATTTATTATCGATCTATATGATGGCGCGTCCAGGGAACGACGGCTAAGATTTTGTACGCATAATGTTTAAGTAAATTATAGTTGTTTTTATTATTTGTTTTATATTTTTAGCGTATATGGGGTCCACTGACCCGTCCTAGGTGTCTAGGTCTCGTTAGTGTTAGACGTTTGAACTATAAGAATTTAGAAATGTGTCGACAGATTCGCATTAGCCATTTTAGAGGGTAAATCTGTGTTATAATAATTTAAGTGAGCGCATGTTTGTGCAGTGTTGTCTTTGGTCCATCATACAAGGCCGCGTCAGCAGCTGGGGAGGGTCCGTCGACGCCGCGCTATTAATACTGCAGCTTGCGGGGCGCAGCGGTGGCAGCGGCTGGCACCGCGCCCGCACACTGCCCGTCCGGGATCGACAGTCACCCTTGGATGTACTTGGCAACTGTTCTAAAGATTCTTTTCATCCGCGTCCGTCTGAAGCGGATGACAATAGCTTTGAAATCAACTGACGTTTTTGTTTAGTTGATTGAATTCGCGAGGTTTATTAAGTTTGCTTTTATTTGTCTGAGTTTTTGAGTCAGATTAGGAAACGGAAACGTAGCCAGTAAAGATAGCAGTCTATGGGATCGATAGAGCACTTAAATTGTACCGCAACAACGAATCGGTGTCGTGACGGCCTTTGGGCTTACCTTGTACATAGTCTTCCGATACCCAGTGATTCGAGTGAGTGATTTGCAAAATATTCTGTTTGTTATAATTAGGATCTCGTTATGCATTCTTTGGCTATTAGCTGGGAGACAAGTTACGCATTTGTACACTCAAACATTTGTTATTTACGGCGAATGATGTAAACTGTACGAACGAAATTAACATCACTTTGGAGTATTTTGAGTCGAATTAGGGCCACAATTTCTGTGCATTTCTTATTATAGTAACGAATGAAATCTTAGATGTTAGATTATTCCCAGTGCCCATCCTTAAACTTGCTCAAAATTAAAGCGAAAGTATTTTTGGATGTCCGAAGAAATAAGAAATAAGTTTTGGATTAACTGAAAATGCCTTTTTGTGTTGTGAGCCGTTTTGAGGACTCGTTAGAATATTTATAATAGGATTTTGGTGTCCTTTTTTTTGTAATATTTATCTTTGATTTTGACTTTCGTTCCTTCTGCGCGGCAAAGCCGTTTTTCAGTGTTCATATTATTTCCAATTGAGTTTAGTTGGTAAACTCGTCACTTGGTGGTGTTCGTGGTCTGTGAGAGTGTACTTGTGCAGTACAATTTGTTCCGAATTTCATTAGTCATTTGTGTTTCGTCGCGTTGTGGTTTCCGCGTGTTCGTTTTCAACCATGAACTATGTACTGTGAAGTATCCACCACGAGATACTGGGAAATATCTACTTAAAATTGCAATGAAAGTGTTCTTCGCATAATCATAATAAAAATCTAGATTTTAGTCACTTGTTGCAATAATTTGCCTAAAGGCACAGAATTAGTAAATAGAGATTTGAACACAAGATGGTTTAACTGCTTTTTATTCAATTATTTTATTATATTTTTGTATTGTAAAAAGCGTTTTTTATAATATTTGAATTCAATCAATTTAGATATAATGATCGAATCCTGCAGCCAGTCTTGAGTGATATCGTCGTTTGTCTTAACATGAAATGGATAAATATATTTTGATCTGGTTGTTTAATAGAATTTCTCGCTTATTGTCGGGTGTTAAAGTGTATTTTGCTGTGACCGTTAGCCTTTGAAGCTTTTACGTGACCGTTAGCATTTGAAGCTTTTACAATCTCGATGTTTGTTAAAAACGTAGGTGGAAATGAGACGCCGTCGATGTAGAATATTTCGATAAGGATGACTCGTCTGTTGATTAACTATTTATTTAGGTTTTTGACGGACGGCTCTCCACTATAGTACCTATTAGTTAATTCCTAGCAACTCGTATATAGAAAATAATTATTATTGTGCAAACTCAGGCTGGCATTAATAGTGATCTGAAGTGTAACCGCCTACCATTCTACACTACACTTTACAAGGCAGCATTATGTACATAGTGTTAAATGAAATATTTAGAGCAATTACAATAGTTGTAGCACCAGTTGGTCGCGGCATAATGCGTTTTAACATGTTTCTGTAGTATATTAGAAAATCTTTGTGATAAATCTTCTTTATAATATCATTCAGTAGAGAAACAATGTCTGTATATATTATTATAATTATTAATGAGTAAGTAAAAGCTATATTTTGTTATGGTGAACAAAAAGCGGACACTCGTTTGCCATATGATCCTGATTTAGTATATTTTGTGATTGCATCCACCTTTTCTATTCTCTTCCCTTGTTCAGTTTGTAAGGTATTTCGATGTAACAATGGAATATTTTGCAATATTATATAATTTTATCTCTTTAAGTGGATCATAAAAATAGAGCTGTATATTATCCAGATGTTAAATATTATTATTTCTTTCTTAATGTTTGAACTAAGCATGTAAAATTTAAAATAATAATATAGAATAAAAGATGTTATGATAATTAATTACATAAAATCTTCGTTTGAATCCGCTGCCTTTTCCTTCCGTCCATTCAAGCATCCCTACAAAAAATAAACACAAGTCTTTTGCGCACACGCACCTACACAAACAGGTTATGAAATAAAAGACTCCTTTGCGTAAATTATTTTAACATTTAATTCTTAGACATTTGTATTTACAAAATATAAAACTATAAATTTAACATCATAATATATCTAAACGCAACCTTATATAAAATCGGACACTGCACTAAACTACAACTCTGCAAAGTAGCACAGAATTAAACAATTCTCATCAACGTCTATAAAATATATATGTATATATACACAAATTGACTTGATATGACAATTTTTGGTAACTTTTAAACAAATCAAATTCATGAGCTTAATTAAACTTAAAAAAAGGTAACTTTCTGTGCTAATTAGCCAAGCTGTAGATGGCCTCAAATTACAACATTACATAAAACCTCAGTCTTTATAAAAGTCCAAACTGTAGACACAATTTGAAGTCCTTTTCTTTTATAATCATTATAAGATACTATTAATTACAATCTAATTTGAAATAATATTTTTTCGTATGCTTTAAAGCATATTTGAAGTTACGCGGCTTTGTCTGTTGCCTTCATACAGGTCTGTCAACAACGATGCATAACTTGCAAAAATGCATACCAACGTGTATGCGAGTAAAGTGACAAACCCGCGAACCTTCAATATGACTTGATGAGAATCCCACGGGGTATTAAAACATGGGTTCGTTTCGTACGTACCCGTAATAAAGTCCTAAAGATATATATTCACCTGTCTGAAACACCTCTGTAACGAAAGGCAAAGCGTGTTCTCGTACTAGGTGCATTTTAATAGCACGTTAACTGGATCACAAATGCATACCGATTAGTACAGTTAGCGCGAAACAGTCGTATTGCAATTTAGCAGTCCGAATGCGTCTCCCCTTCGGTACAATCGGTCTACTTTTCCGATCAGTCCACTTTCAGTATTCCTCTACTTTCTCGATCGGTCCACTTGTTTTACCCGATCCGTCCATTTCCCATTTCATCTACTTTCCCGATCGGTTCACTTTTCGAAATAGTCCACTTTGCAAGATAATAAAATTTTACAAAAAAAAATCGTTTTATAAATTTTCAAAGGCAGTTTGTAATTGCAGATTGTCATGGAGTACCTTTTTTATTTTCTGATAATGATGGCCGCTTTACGTTAACCATGATTTGAAAAAACAAAATCAAGTAGACAATTCGTTTTTAACCGACTTCAAAAAAGGAGGAAGTTCACAATTCGACTGTATTTTTTTTTATATACGCTCTAAATCAACGGTATTTGG